GGGCTTCTAAAGTCAGTATTGTCACGGAACAGCTGTGGACATAAGTTTGGACATTTGCGAACATTTGTAAACAAATAAATAAGTTAAAATTACTCAATATTTTATTAAGATAACATATTTTTATTTTTAAATAAAATATGTCCAGTACCTAAAAAAATATATAATCAAATATTTTTTAAATAATTTTATTAATTATTAAAGCTTAGACAAGCTTTGGACAATCTTGGACATGTGAACATTGTGGACGTGGACAAGGTCAAAAAAGGCTATAGACAGCAAAAATGTACAACACTGTCTAAAGTAGCAACTTTATATTATATAGATCATATAGTTATAGTTTTAGGATTAGTGTTGGGTTAGATAGAATTGGTATTGGGCTAGAGTTAGTTTAGTTCATTAAAGTTTGGATTAGTTTAGTTTGATTAGTTTAGTACATTAGAGCTAGAATTAGAATTAGATATTATAGTTAATTTTAGATAGTGATTATTTTCAAATTTGTTATGTGAATTGTTACAATTGTATTTTTTTTTTTACTTAATTAAAAAAAAATTTTTAAAAAACAAAATGTAGGAAACCCAATTTTTATTATTCAAAAAAAAAAAAAAAATACAAATAATTGCTACTAAATCTAGTTAGAATCTACTACTATACTGCATCCAAAATCTCATGCTACATATAATTCTAAAACCAAATCTAACTACTATACTACATTAGCTATAATATCCTGAACTACTTCTAGTTCTAATGTCCCAAATCTAACTACCATGCTTTAATATTCTGAATCTAATTATCATGCTATATTCAGTTCTAACATGCCTATCATGCTACTACCATGCCACATCCCAAAATCTAACTATCATACTATATACAATTCTAACTTCTAAATCTAACTACCATACTATATTAGTTCTAATATCCCGAATCTAATTACTGTACTATTTCTAGTTCTAATATTCTAAGTTTACTCTTCTAAAACTAATTATTATACTACATCTAGTTATAATTATGCCATATTGCTATATTTATAGTTCTAATTAAAACAGCAAAGATTCTGACACAACAACTAAACTTAAAATTTTCAACAACACAAGTTCAAATTTCCAAAAGTGGCACTAAGACAATGAAAGCCTCATGACTCTACAAGCAATAATACCAAAAAGACAAAAGCCAATATCTTCAACAATTATACTAGTAAAGTTATTATTCTAATTAAGATTTATATAATAATTTACATTATATATATTGTTTATTTGTTTATATTTTTTTAACCAATCAAATCAAATATCTGCTATGCTGCTTTATCTTAATAATAACTAGAAAATTTTAAACTTATAGCTTCTAATTATTTGCACTTAAAATATTTAAAGTAAAATTATTATTTAATAACTTTCTATCTCTACATATTTTTACAAAAAATATTACTTATATTCTAACTCTTACCACCATTGCTAACAACCTATTTATATACTCTATTAAACTATTTGCCCTTTTTTAAAGCCTCTCTTAACTCTGCTTAGTACCTTTTTATAGTATATTTTAATTTCTAATAAACTTTAAATTTTACAAACCCAAATATCTCATCTTTTTAACCAAATTAAAAATTTTGATAGTTTACAAATCTACCTTTTTATATTTAAACTATCCTTGTTCTCTACAATTTCTGGTCTAGTTCTACTTAATATAATAATATACTATATAAATATACTTTTTTTAACAAAACTGCTTGTTTTCTTATTATTTAATTTTTCTTTTATTTAAACTAACAAATCTATACAAATATCTAAATTCTCTACTGTATTTCAAGTTCACAATTTTATCTCACTCTAAGTATTAATAGCACTGCTTCTAATTCTTCTCTTTTAGCTAATCTAAATTTAATCTCTTTTTTTGAAAATTTTTCTAATTTTTTTATATTTAATACTCTCTACAAAGTCAAAACATGATATTTAAATTGGATTAAATTCTCTTCACACTCTATTATTTTTATTTATCTTCAAATCTAGATAAGCCTTGGCCACTCTGGTAGGTTTAAACCACAAATAAGTATTTAAATATATGTTTGATTCTTTTTTTAGTTTTAGATTTAAAAGATAAATTTTTTTTTATATAAGAAGTTTTTGTTAAATCTAATAATAATAAGAGCAAGTCTTATTTTTAATATTAAAAAAAAAATAAAATTGTATTACAAATAAACTTTTTTATAGTTGTATTAATTTAGCTAAAAATTTTATAATACAGTCAACTCTTTTTAAACTAAACCTGGATAAACTGAATACTTAATAAACTCTGTAAAAACTGAACATAAAGCTTCAGAACATTTGTAAAATTTATTATTAAGTTCAGATTGGCAATATAATAACTCTTTGTAAACTGAACTTTTAAATATTTTTACATATAAGAACCTGCTATTCGGTTTAAAGAGAGTTGACTGTATATATATTTTTTTAACTCTTTAATAGCCTTGTTACTACTTTTATTTAAAAAATAATTATTATATATGCAGAACACATATAATATATCTAAACTATAATATTTAGATATAGTATTATCCAGTTGTTTCTTGAGTATCTAGATAAGACCTGTCATACTGTACTACTACATAGAATAGAAGATGTTGTTAGCTCTGTTTAAAAGCTAAAACTTAATTTTTTTTCTATTTAGATTTTGGCAAAAAGGCTTTAGCAAGCCTGTTTCTTTATTCAATAAAACTAAAAAAAATAAAAAAGAAAATAAAACAATATTACAAGAAAGAGAAGATAAAGAAAATGATTAAAAAAAAGAGCAACTATAAAGGAGAAAAAAAAACAAAATCTAAATGTAAAACTCCAAAATAACTATAGCAGAAGAAGATAAAAAAAACAAATAAAGCCCAGACAGGGCTAAACAATATACCAAAAGAAAAATAAAAGAAAGTACACTATTATAATCTGTACAAGGCTTAAAAGATTATATAACAAATACAATATCTATATCTCTACTATAAAAATTTGTTTTAACATATTAGTTTCTTTCTGACTATATATCCAAATTTGGATAAATATTTAACTAAAGACTAGTTAATAGACCTTGTCATATAAAGTAGCGATATGTTTGTTACTAAACAAAACATGTGTTGCAATCTTCCAGATTGACTGAATTTGGAAGAAGTAAACAATGCTAATCTTTTAACAGAGATAAGCTGTTTTGCTCACTTTTTTCAAAAATTTTGTTGTAAGTACAAGTGGATGATAGTAAAGAGTATAAACCTTATATTTTTCTTAAAAGAGAGTATAAATTTTTTCAAAAATAATAAACAAGTAGATCCAAGTACACTACTGATATTCTTTTTAATAAGTGATAAACTCTAAACTTGTTAGTAAATAGCATATAAAAACTACTTCTAAATAACAAGTACTATCTATTCCTATGATTAGAGTTTGGAACCAGTTTTATTTTTCATATGTTAAAACTAATTAAAACCGGTTCCAAACTCTACCTACAATAAGTGATAAGCTTTAAACCTATTAGCAGATAGTGTATAAGAACTACGTATCTCTAAATAATAGGCACTAGTTTGTGGTTCTTGTCAGTCTTATGTTCTTCTTCTCTAACATAGTTTTACAGTTTTTATTAAAATTTTTTAGTTTGAAAAGTTGGCCTGAGAGATCATCAGGAAGAGTTGTTAACAATGATGAAAATTTTATAATATATAGTACAAAATGCTTTTTTTATTATAACAAAATTTTATTAAATAAATATTTTGAAAAAATTATACTTTTATATATTGTAAAGTTCCCCTAGTTGGCTCAAATTTCTCCCTGTTACACAAAACGATTGATTTTGATTGGTTGATATTATATGATTATCTTATAATACCTCATCTTTAAACACATGTTTCTCAATAAATATTCAACTAATGTTGATGATTTTACTATCTTTAGAATCAGAAAAGGCTGTTCTACAACTTTTACTTAGAAATTTAAAATTAGTTTACTAAGCATAATTTTCTTTAATTTTAAGAAAAATATTTTTTTACCATTGTTTTATATATAATTTCCTTCTACCCTTAAATGTACGTAATAATTAAATTATTACATAATTTAAAGAACTATTGGTCTTTTAATTGTATACGTAGCTTGAATTATCTGGTCGGAAGTGGTCGATGATCACGAGACTGCAACATTGTTTTTTGTCATGACTAACCTACCTGTAAAAATAACAGAAATTTAAATTACGTAATAGTGAAAAAAATTCATAATTTCATTGAAATAATAAATATAAGCGTTTTTAGAACAATTTTATGAAAGAACAGCTTGTAACCCGGATTTTTTTTAAGCATCTATTTATCCCTTTAAATATATGTAACGTATATGCATACGTCAAAAACAAAGTTTTGAAGAAGGTACGTACCGGTATGTACTATTAATTGAATTTCGTCAATGGGAATTCTTATTGAATGATCATTTCTTATTTGTTTAATATGATGCTGGTACGTCTATGTACGTACGTACGTACGTATTTCCTTTGTACAATACCGATACGCCAATAAATAAAAAAAATAAAAGAATATTCTTTGGATAAGATCAGCATTCCGGAGTACAACCCGAATATTCTTTGGCTGAATAAATTGAAAGTGGTAATTTGTACGAGCACATGCTTTTAATTGTGTAATTAAAATTAATCCAGTTTAATCCGGAAGAAGGAAAAAAAAAAGATAAAAAGATTCATGGCGTTTCTAGAAAATTAGCAATAACCCTTTGACTTTTATAATACTGTACTCGTACTAAATGACACAAAACCCAGATAACTTGAAAAAGAGCCTGAATGGTAAAAAGCATATGCCTGGTAATAAAACGAAAATTACTGTGGCTTGCAAAGTTTGTAAAAAAAAACGAGTTAAATGCGAATATGAAGGTGAAGGTCCATGTAAAAAATGCGTCGAATATAAATGTCAATCGGAATGTATATTTTATACACAACAAAAGAGGGGTCCTAAGAAAGCACCCGGATCGACTACAGGTATGCCATCAAATATAGAATTCCAAAAATGGGGTAAAGAATTGTGGGAATTGCTAGGTAGGGATAAGCAAGCTGTAGCCAATCATATCCAAAATCTGTCAAACGGGAATTCTTTGGCGCCCAATTTTGGTCAAAACATTCATTTAATCGGAAATTTTACTGGGAACTCTTTAAACAATGGACAAGAAAATCTACCAAATGAAAGTCAAGTTGAAAACTCTTCAAACAACGAGCAGGAAATTACATCAGGCAGAAGCTTGGCAAATGGTGATTTAGATGGAAGCCATAGGGAACTAACGCTACCCACTCAAGAAACTTCAAGCGTAAATTTTAATGATAATACTTTAGTAATATGGGACGAATCAATGTTATCAATGGTAAATGGGGATTTTGCAGAAGATTTTCTAATAAGCTGCGAACAAACATCTCCTGAAGTTCGATCATCTAGGACCATCAATAGACAACAATATCGATTATCTCGTTCACCAAGTCGTGAAAATCGCCAAACAAGACAAGAAGCTCGAAACCGTGAACCCCTTTCACGATCTCCAACTTCAGATGGTGATCGGATGCTACAACTCCCGAATGATCGTTTACAAATCCCGATTGATCGAGTGTATTATTCTCCGAATCATACAGAATATCAGTTTTCATTTAATCACAGCATATCAAATAATTCATCGTCGGCACATATAACATCTCCTAATAATACATTCGAAAATTTATCAAATCAATCAACACCACTGTTAGATTTTGAAATATCATCTTTTATCAACTCTACCACAAATCTCCAAACAACACCATTGTTTAATTTGGAGGAGATAAGTCAATACTCGATCGATCCCCAAACATCTGATTTTGGAGGAACTGACTGGCAACCTTTTTTTTTTGAATAGCAAGAACATTATGATATGAGTGTGTGAGAGTGAAAACCTGGAGCTGCATATAATGATTACTATGATAAGTTCCAGGTTTTCACTCTCACGCACTCATATATATATTTTTTTAATATTAAAATTCTATAGAATAGAAAAAAAAACTTTTCAATTTTAAATCAATACTTTCCCTTTGTTTAAATTCAAATCCAATTATGAAGACTTTTTTTTTTTGGTTGTTTTTTTTTTTTTTTTTTTTTAAATTAATTTCAAGGACTTTTATAGATTTTTCAACAATATACAGTATTGGTTATTAAAATTACTGTCAATTTTCTTACATCATATCATCTATTAGAATTACCCTTTTAGCTTCAATTTTCCTAAATCATACGTATCACCTATAGAATTACCCCTTTCAATTTCTTTACGTACTAGAATTACCGCTTTCGGCTTCAATTTATAATCATGGAAAGTTCTTTTTTATTTATTTTTATTCAATAGAAAGATATTCACCTTCCTAGTGAACATTTAGTTTTCAGACATAGAACTTAGCCATTGTTTTATGATAAATTCGTTTTTTTTTTTTGCCATTTGTAAATATTAATAGACCTGTATATATATGTGTACATAAACCTTTTTTTTTTTTTTTTTTGCATATATAGCTTTTTATTATTATGTACTTAATTGTTTTTTATTATTTCACTGATATGCTTTGTCCATTCTTAATTTTTTTTTTCACCTTTAAACTCTGATATTTTTAGATGAACATTTTTAACTCTTCTTTTTTTTTTTTTTTGCTCACATTTTTCTCACTTTGAAACCTTTCAATTGATTTCTTTCTTTTTTTTGGTCTCTATTTACCTACAATTATATAGTTTAAGACAGCGTTGTATGTTTTGAACGTCATAAAGTTTTTTATCTATATTCATGAATTTCCAGGCCCAGTCTTAAATATTTAAAAAACATTTATATGAAAAATTAACAAATTTATTTATATATAGTAGTTGGCCGGAGTAATTTTTTTTTTTTAAAAAAAAAAAATTCTTTTCGCTGTTTAATACTAACGCTTTGCTCTTTTGAGTTTTAGCACTTTCAAGTTTTTTTAGTACTGTAGTAAATAATTTCGTGTGAACGATTAAATAAATTTTCGTAAAAATTTACTGCATCGCGTAAAATTTTTAATTGAAACAACGTACCTACTTTAAGCCATACTGCCATATGAAAAACCGAAAACAAAATAACTATGAATGAAAATTTACAAATTATTTAGCAACCTAGCAGTAACATTCATTTTTAGTATTACTAATTAGCAAACTAGCATCCGTTGCAGTATTGTATCAGTTAATTTTACGACTTCCGGAAGCTATTTTCCCGAAAGAACATGATACTGACTAATTATTTCCATTCGGGAAAATGGCTTTTGAAAACTTGAGTTACATTATTGTATTAGTATTAAAGCAAATCTATTAATTAGCAATTTGCAGCAGCATTTTATTTATTTGCAATATTGAATCAGTATCAATAAATGTTGTGTCAATTATTTTTAAACAAAAGTAGAAATCGCAGCCCAGAATATAGTTAAAGAATTTTGAAACAGAGTTGGGTATATTTTAAAATTACAAGCTTGTAAACGTAGGTCTCGGTAAAATTTTTATTCTCTTGAGAATAAAACAGGGATGGTAAATGACCTTCAAATGACCCCGATTTTATTATGAATTTTAGTCCAAAATGACCTAAGTCATTTGAAAAAAAGGTAAATTTTACCATCCCTGGAATAAAGTAACGAACAAAAATTTTATAGAAATTTTCTTGGTTGTGTCAGAAGCATTTATTTTCGTTAATGTATTAGATTATTTCGATTTATTAGCAGAAAGAATTCTGGAAATGTATTTGTTTTTTTTTTTTGTTTTTTTTTTTTTTAAGAAAAACTAAAATGATGTTTTTGATTTTGCGGTTGTGCCAAGATGGCGTGATCTAGTTTATCCAATTAAAGACGGGATTTCATGCGTCCAATCACAACTGGGGGAGAAATCAGGGCTCCCCAATTTTGCAACGGGTTGTTTGAATGCTATTGTAGAAGTTGACTGCTTAACGATTGAGGTATTTAAGGTAAGTTATTCATTTATCGCTGTTTGCAAATGATGTATCTTTGATCAAATTTTGCAGACATGTACTGTACGATCATTAAGTGATTTTCTTAAGAGAATTCTGCGCAGATAAAATATGGTTATAAGTTTTGACTTCCTTATCTTCATATCCTCAAAATAACACATATATTCTCAAGAACAGCTTCGGCAATCAGGCAACAATCAGGTGATCATATGTGTGAGCTGCGATCTACAAAGTAGGGACGCCGTTTTTTCTTGGATTAAAGGGATAACGTAAAAATTTTGGAAATTTTTTGGATTTGGATTAAAGATGAATTTTTTTCGGATAACGTAAAAATTTTGGAAATTTTGGATTTGGCCGGCATTAAAAATTAAATTTCATAATTCTGGCCGGATCACATGATTTTGAATTATTGCTCAAAATTTCGTTAATGTATCCCGAAATTTGAATTGTATGAACACAGCCAATCAGATTAATAGAAATTAACAGACATCTAAAAACGTTAATCCATAATTTTCAGCGTCCCTGGATCAGTTCTACACTTCATTTCTTCTGAATACTTTTTATTTTTTTAAGATAAGTCGACCATTGTCTGAGTTTGGCTCGACATTGTTATAGTGTGATTCGTACGATTCAATAGTTTATACTTTAAAATATAAACTTTATGCTATAAGGAAACTCTCAGAGGCGTGATTTTTGGTGATTTGGGTCATATGATAGAAGGGAAATTATCGGACTAGTGAGCTTATGTGCCCCTACCTCGCACATAAGTGTCACAACCAGCCTTAACTAAGTATCACAGAGTTAAGCAATCGCCGAAGTGACGCTATCTACCTCAGACGGCTGTAATTTAATTCCGGATCTCGCTTGGCACTAGAGACACACACTCGCTTCTTCGCCCACAACACACACACTACTGCTCTTTTTGTAAGTATTTACTTTAAGACAACACTCTTATTTTTTTCAATTATCAGTCAAAAGACTGACTTCTTTTCTTTATTTACATTCGTCATTTATCTAATTCTAACAATTACATAGTTTATGCTACACTTTAACTATTTCTTTGTTATTAATTTATTAAACTTTTAATTATTCCTCAAGTAATCGTCATATTCATGCACTCGGCGATCACAGTACCTATCGTACCCGATCTTACATATGCCACCCGACTCTACGATTCCCACCACGACTCCGTGATCACGTGAGTCGTTTAATCCGTACTTTCGCTTCACCTTTTCACTCTTCAATTCATTAAACATTTCACTATCTATTTGTACACCTTTTACTAGGTATAAGGGCTCTTCGAAAACTATGCGACATTAAGTTACGTCATTTTTATAACTTTAATGAGGCTTAAACATAGCTTCACCTTATCACAACATCAGATGATAAATTCCATAAATTATCTAAGCCTCTGCAATTGAATTACGAACCAGTTTGTCTATGATTTCACCCCCGTGATAACATCAATATTAATTGGAATATCATCCGATTTAGCCTTGAAATAAAAGTTTTTAATTGAATTCTAGGTACTCTTCATTATTTTTTCGGGTTGTCTTATTAGAGTACCTTTAATCGACTGATTATTATACCATTGTCAGCGTGTTTGTCAAATTTAACTAATTTTTAGTCACCAAATTTGGGGATCGATTTTCTAATAATGAACCAAAAAAAAAAAAAAAATGGCACTCTGATCTATAATAACAATGCGTTTAACCATCTTCCCACTCTTTGACGCATTTAATTAGACATATAAATTTTATTGTAACGACGCACCTTAACCTAGGAAACGTTGATTATCTCAGCCAAAATCACTATTTACGTATCTTACAAATGCGCCGTAATGTATACTTAAAAAAAAATTTTTTTTAGACATGTACTGTAATAACGAATCAAATTAATTTCAAATACTTACTTTAAAGGAATGAATTAAAACCTAATTTAATATTGTCAACTATTATTTATCAGTCGAATTATTTGAATAAACTACTCACAACCAGTATTCGAAATTAGTGTTCTCAGAGTACGCTATTATAAATTTGTGCACAGTATAAATTTTTTTATTGTTCACTATTAAAAATTTTTTGAGAACAGTTAAAATAATATTAGTATTCTCATAAGCATATAATAAGCAGCTGCATGACGTTGTCTTACCAAGTCAGAAATAAATAAATGTAATGTATTAATCTAAGGTAAATTAATAAATACTTATCTATTGTTATTAAGTAATTTAAATTATTTTTTAATACTAATACAACTATAGCGAACTATAGCGTAGTATATATTTCTAATATACTGTTTGTTTTTTGTTCTTTTTGTGAACATAAAATCGTACTTGAACACCTGCATCTATTGCATTGTTCTCATGAGAACAAAATTTGGGTCTGAAATTTTGAACACTGCTCACAACTCATTTAAACATCTCATTTAGTTTATTTATATAATTTATCAATCGAAGTACGTACGCATTAAGATTTCTGATTTAGTTTTAAGAAAAACTATTTATCTTGTAATGATTAGATCTGAATTCGACCTCCGAATTTAAATTCAAAAATTTTTTTTTCAGATTCTATTATTGTAAATCCAAAAAAATTGCGATAAATGAATCGATAAATGATGATAAGTTACCGCTTTGTAGTCAATGGGTTATCGAATTCGGCCCGTATCATAAACTTTTCGATTCACGGGATTTAAGATAATAGCTATAAATCTAATTATAACCCGGATTTTGAGAATTTATCGAATCTGAAACGCTGTTGTAGATAAATTATTGTAAGGCCAGAATACGTGACCAGCCTCAAATAGGGTTTGAAACCGATTTTATATTTCATATGTTAAACCAATTAAAATCGGTTCCAACATATGAAAAATTAACCGGTTCCAAACTGATATAAATTAACGGTGTAACTTAGTATAACGATCGATCACTAGGGTTGCACCTCAACTTAATAAATACCTATTAGTATTTTGTTATTTAACGATTTGTATACGCCCAAATTTTTAGGTTACACTTGTTCTTTAATAAATTTTATAAAAAAAGTAATACAAGTCACTCTCGTTATAGTAAAGTGATCGGGCTGTGAAATTTTCTTTACTATATCGAAAGTCTATTGGTAAATTTTGAGTAAATTCACTATATCGAGAGGGTTTTTATATATACTGTTCTTCACTATACTTATATCGAGAGTTCACTATAACGAGAGTAACTTGTATCAGACGAATAAATTTTTTCGGAATATTAAATGAAATTTAGTTCTTTAAGTATTATATACACTTTATAGATCTAACAAATTTACGATATTCATAAAGTAGTTAGACTTTAAAAACAGAAAATTTATATATTGAACTATAATTTTTAAAACCAATTACTTTGCCAACATTAAGATTCTTTTTAATTTTGTAAAATATAAAAGACACGATTTTAATAAAATGTACTATAGTCTTTGATTGCTATATAAACTATCATTTTTAAAACCTAATTAAAACTTCGTTAATATTATGAATTTTCAATTTTGTAAAGTGCAAAAGTATTTAAAAAACTAAAATATGTTTTAATTGTTAATAGCTATAGAAAATTTTGTGAAATTAATCAAAACATTAAATAATAAATATTAAGTTATAACAATAAAAACTATAATTTGTATCTGGAACAATTTATGATAAGACTTAGATACTATATATATTATATTGATATTCGCCAACAATATGTTGAAGGCTTGTTTAACAAGCTTGATTTAAAAAACCATCGAAATATGACTTTTAATATGAAAAAGTCAAATTGCATCTTTCGAATAATAAAATTACCAAAGATGATATTTATGAGGGATATGAAAAAATTCAAACCCAAACATCTCAAAAAATGCCAAAGAGTGCTAATGAATCATTTGGAGTAGATTTTGCAATCCAATTATTTTATAATTTCCTGATGTTATTCACTTTGGGACGTACTTTAAATTTCGTATAACTTAAAATCTGTCAATATGCAAATCATTAAATAACTATAATCAAATTTTGAGAACCGATCACATTTTTTGTTTTCGTTACATGCAATCGATCAGCTAGTGTGACAAATATGAACGATGAAAAAGAGATTATTGTCAAACAATGGATATAGTGAATATTAGTTTTCATTAATCGTATGTAACATGTATATATTTATTGTGGGTACATTTTGGAAAAAAGAAAAAAAATCGGATTTTGCTATTTCATAAAATATTCGTCCTCGAGTGAACATAGAGAATTACAAGTGTCTAAAATAACTCAAGATTACTATTAAAATCGCTTCAAACTTATTCAACGTACTGAATTAGTTGTGGTTGGTGCAAATCGCCCAAAAGATTACGTGTTCAATAGTCTCGAATAAGCGTGGACCGTTGAGGTTAGGTAGACATTGTTTGGTAGCCTCAAAGTAGTGTAAACTGTCCTAAAACCTGTCACACCACTCGCCAGATCTAAACGCCTTTTTCGAACGAACCTTTTTTGGAGCTCTCAATGCGTTCAATGTGTAAATCATAACAATAAATAAAAATAAGTATTGTAGAATCATTGATCATCGATCTACACCACGCTATTCACAATAGTATGAATGGTATGAATAGTATTTAGGAGTCGGCACTGGTTTTTATTATCATTCTTTTCGAATTTAACGAATCAAGTAATTATTTGGAATAAATTCGTATATCGATTTAACAATCAGGAACCAAATCTGAAGCAGAAGTCACTAATTACAGCTACTCTTAAACTTTGGGACTTAAAAAAGTTTTTAATAACTATCGATCAAATCGATAAAATATCGATATCCATAAACTTGCTTAATGATCATATGTTAAATTTTCATTTATTCCCGGAATGAATGTCGGGTTGTTAAATAGAAAAGTGGCAGAATTTGCGTGTAATAGAAAGGGCTGGTCGAGAAATTTTGTTTAAGACTGTTGTGAAAGAGTGTTGAAAGCGATTTTATTGTTTTTTTTTTTAATATTTCAATTGTGTCGATAGCTTTTCTATTATGTTACATGAAATTTGTGCGATTTTTTACGTTATTTTCTGATCCGACTCATGCCTTTCTCACCATGATCGATCGGAGCAGTGATATAGCACTTGGCGTGTAACCCTAACTAGTTTTTCCATTTCTTTTCGATCCGTTATCCCTTGTCAACGTGTATGATATATATGAATGAAAGAAACGGTTGTTATTCTAATGTAATTCTTTATTTAGCAATTGTAAAACCTTTTCCAAATTTATTTCACTTTATGAAAGTATACAGATAATACATGTAAGAAGAAATTACTAATGATGTAATACCATTATGTACAAGCAGTGTTGGATCTGTTTATATGTCAATTATTTTTGTCTGAATTAGACATAAAATTTTGTATGTCCAATTATCCACTCGCGCAATTTTTATATGTCCAAAGCCAACACTGTGTGATCAAACTACCTTTCCTTTTAAATAACTTAAATAGTAACTATGTATTATAAATAAAGGAGTGAAATAAATTATGATCTAATGTTTCTGAAGAAAGTCAAATAAATATATATTATTAACAACAGCATGACTTTCCTCTAAAAGAAATTTTATGATAATGAGAGAAAAAATTGCAAATATTTTAATAATAATATTATAAATACAATATGTTCCAATTTTAAAACCATAGATAACAATATAGATAAGAGATGGTAAAGAGACTCCATTATGATTATTTTTTGCTTTCTTAATATTTAGAACACCTATCTATAAAGCTTCTATTCTTAATTATAAAAAAAAAGCAATTAATTATCAAAATTAATTAAATTAAAATATTTTAATATCTTCTTGTTCCTCAAAATTAATAATCATTATAACTATTAGTATAACGATTATAATTATGATAATCTACAACATTTAATTCGCTGTGAGAATTTACAGCATTTAATTCTCTAAATTCGCCGTGGGAATTTACAGCTCCTATTTCTTTATGATAATCTTCAACACTAAATTCTCTATTATCATCTAAGATATTCGCATTTTTCCTGTAGCTATCTCTACTAGATTTGCCTAAGCAAAATTTCTTTGCTGTTAAAAATACCACAACTGCGACAACAACAAGGGCTATAACTATTCCTATTAATGCATTATTTTGACCATTTGATAAGTCATTTGATGAACCATCGTAGGAATTGTTATTATCAGAGGTCGGAGAAGTACTAGGTAAAGCGGTTACAGAATTAACGAGAAGCTTATTATTCATGGATTGAGCGATAGTATTTGTTGGGGCTAATAAAGCAGTATATGCTGTTGGTGTTGTTGCAATCATTGCAGAATCTGTAGCTTGAGATGGTTGTACTGCTTTTTGGGGAGATGATGTAACTGCTTCAGGTGCAGCTGGTTGCGAGTTAGTTGGTGATGTGGGTTGAGGTTGTGAGTCCACTGATTGTGAGTCCACTGATTGTGAGGCCACTGGTTGTGAGTCCACTGGTTGTGAATTTTGGGAATCACTCTGAGGTTGCTGAACGTCGGATAAAGGTGTTGAAACCGCAGGAACAGTGTCATCAGGATTCGAAATACTGACTGGTGGAACGGCGACAGAAGGAGTGTTCGAAGAACTTTTAGCATTACCTCCTTTACCCTTAGCTGCCGGCATTTTTTGTAACTAAATTATATGTTGAGGTGTTTTAATGAATGATAGTCACTATGTAGATTTTCTGCATAGTCTGTAAATTATATGCTGAACAACTTTCCGTTCAGATATGAACTAATTTATTTGAATAATGAAAAGTATCAAAAATTCGGCGTTCTTTTTTGTACATGCATATTTTATATTAAATTTAATTATTTGAACAAATCGTAACACTATATCGATATTAATATTACATTCGTAACATTAAATTATGATTATTGTGTGACCCTACTATCATATAATGTTGCAGTCATTTATTACAGCAACCAATAAAATGCTGAATACACCCCGAACTGGTTCGGGTTGACCCGAAATTTTACTATAAAAACTTATTAACTTTTTGGGTCGGGCCAACCCAACCTTTATCAATAAATTGTTAACCTTTATTAAGGTTTCATTACTTCACCGACAATTACATTACCGACATCTCATTTAGTCAACATCACTCCAAATGACAATTTACAAAAATATATGTTGCAACTAACCAAATGCTACCCTTAACCCTATGTGATGTCAGCTAAATAAGCCGTCGGTTAAATGAAGTCGCTTTTTTACATAAACTTACCAGTCATATGTTCTGGCATACTCTGAATGACCATGGTCCATCCATCCGTTTATTACATTTTGATCAATATCATCTACAAATCAAATCTTTTGCCTAACCTTCATCTTGATTATCGGTACAAGCTCTTGGGGGCACAGTCACAGGGTCATCAAATTTTTTTCAAATTTTTTTTTTAACTCCTGTGAACCTTGTTAAATGACACTATTGTACAATTTATATTTATATATAATCAATTTTATAACAATTAATGGTTCTAAAGTAAAAAGTTCATATGTCAAGAGTATGTTTTTCTACGTAAGACCCATTACGTTTTTAATATCTGATTTACATAAAGATATTCGATATAGAGAGTTTCAACTATAAATGAAATATGTGCTCTAAGTTGGCAAAATGATTTATGCAATCCTATAAAAGTCGCAACAGGTTTTTAATGAGACTACACAAAATTAAATTAAGAAGGGAACAATTTGTTTAAATAATTGTTGGTTTATTGTGGTTTGTTTTTCAGATTAGAAAATATAAATGAAAAATGCGAATGCGAAAAATAAATAAATAAATAGTATTATAGGGCTGCTGCATCTAAAAATTACATACAAAATCATTTGAGTGACAGAAAAAGGAAACCTGTAATTGGTCCATGTTATCGGATTCAACTTGAATTATCAAATCCTATATGTTAGCTCTTAAAGTCATTTTTCTTTTAAAAAACCCATTTGATGACAAGCGTAATGTTATCGAAGCGATTAGCCGTCGGCGAATACGTGGTCACATATAATTTTATTGATGGTCACATGTAGTGTTCGGAGCCTCATCTGACTTTAAACGAATTGGCTGCCATGAAAATGAATTGTCCAGAGGGACCAAATTATAGTTGTTAGACGAAACCTTGAGGTTTCGCGCTGACGAAAGTCGAAACCTAGTTTCGACTTTCGTCAACTAAAATCTCAAATGACGAAATGTCGAAA